TATATACACCCCTGCATCAACCAGACTAGGAGACAATATGTATTTGTGTATATGTCATTAGATATATGTCTCTTTCACCAGATCACTGTACTCATAATAATACCATTCGTGTTATTATCTCTTTGAAGTGACGTTGTTGCGTTATGTTACTCTAACTGTAATAGTATATTTTGAGCGGTTGCCAACTGGCCGTCTAGCCAATTCTATTTTGCAATATAATCAGATTATCCTTTGGTGAGCCTTTTTCATGGCAATCACTGCAAAAATAAATTTCTCGAGCATGGTCTGCAATAATGGAATTACAAACATGTTTATGCTGTGAATTGTGGAACACACGAGGGTTACATTTTCACTCATTCGTATATATTGCAGTTGGAAGGGCGATCGACTATTATCATAAGTCAAAACTCTAATTTAGTATTCCCGAAATGCTTCAAGTTTAAAGGTACTATGTCCCTTTTGCAGCCAACCTCAAATGCTGCATGTGGAACTTTGCGGGAATTATGAATATGTCATGTATGTCCTATCTGTGAAATTTGAACGTTAGCAGTGTCCTCATATTCAAATTATGCAAGGAAATCCGTTTACTTGCTAGACTTCACTGTCAGACACTATTGAGTGACTGACTGGCTTTTTGTCTTCTTTGGTAATAACATGAAAAGTTAAGTGAATTCCCCTTTATATTGTTGAATTTATTTCAATCACAAACTGTACCTTTATTCCAGAATTTGATAAAAAAATAACAAATTTGATTTAACTTAGAATAACTGGTATTACGAAAATGCCAAAAATAGTAAATAGGAGATGGGAGAACCAGGTTTTTATTTTGAGTGATTAATTTGTTTCTTCAATTGTTTTGTTGTTGTTGAAAGTACCGTTATAAGGAAATTTAACCAACGTAACTTGTTGTTCTTCGATGGATTTTTTGGCACCATATTTAATAAGACCATTCCCACTTATACAAAGTATAGGGGATGGGAAAAGGAGGAATCATGTCTTTATTTAACTTGAATACTGGATTTATTTTCCATTTTTTCCATTCTATTTTTTAGTAAATATTTAACGAAATTGTATCGGTGCGATCGTTCTTCTTTCTTGGAATGTCTGAAACATTATTTCATAGGAAGGTTCATTTCAATTGTGGTAAACAAACTTATTGCTTTGTATTCATTTCAGTGTCAGTTTAGTAGATGTATCATCGGGCCGAGAAGGCAGGTATTATATATTCTATTCTATATAATTATTATATCTAGATCTCCAAAATAAACATACACAATCAATTAACAACTATACCGGTGTAATTTTTTTTGGAATGACAGAAAATTTACTGGAAAATAACCGAGGGATAAGAAATGAGATGTGTCAGTCACAGACCATAAACGTACCACCAACGTTGGTGGTACGTCTATGGTCAGACACGGATAGAAAAGTTCAAATTTACAACCACACGCACTGCATAATCACATTTTACACATACACATTAGCGACGTACTTCAGCAAACAATACTCGATAAAATGTTTTCCCGTTATTTCACTTTTTGTGTGACCATTAATGGATTTCTTTCTTTTTACTGCCTTCATCTTCTATTTCTCCATATGTATATATTTGCTTTTCTGTTTCTTTCTTTCCTTATATATTTTCAATGTTTTTCTTATTTCTCTACCTCTCTTTCCATAATTGTATTATTTCTTTGTTTCGTCCGTTCTTTCTCTTTATGTCTTTTCTGATGTATTTCTGAGTTTTCTCTTCTTTCATCTACTCTCTTTCCTAATATATTTCTTTCTTTCTCTTTCTATTCTTTCTGTTGTATTGCCTTGTCATTTGATTCATCTTCTTTTTCTATATTTCCTTATGCATTTATTACATTTTCTTTTCTTTTGAGCTTCTCGTTTATTATTTTCGGTTTGTAAATAATGAGCATGCGATATACGCTGTTGTTCATAAAGTCTTTGATAACACTTATTATTTTCTCAACACTTTGATGATCAATTTCCTCATAATGACAATCAAACCACAATAATCTTTACAAACTTGTTTTTCTTCTTCAATTTCTTCAACCTTGGTCAGTGTAACGAAATTATTCCAACGTTATGGTATTAGTGTATGACTGAAAATACTTTATAACATTTGAAATGAATGCATTCGTATAATTACTGTAAGGTGGTTGGCTTGTTTTATTCTGTACAACGCAAGTAAATGACAATGTTTGGTAAGGTTGTACTCATTTTCCTTAGGTCATAGTAATCGACGTCTTGACATGAGACTATCTTCCCCATGCAGAAAACTGACTTGACGTTGGTCGATTCCTTTCGTTCGAAGTTTGTTTTCACCTTAAATTTTCCATTTTAATCATATTTCAAGCAAGATTAGCAATTTCTTTTACAAAAGTCATACAAACAATCATAATTTGGTAATATTCACCTCTCAGCCAGCGCGTGACCTTGTCTGTCCATTAGAAGGAATTCGTGGTTTCGAGGCATAGTTGTTTGCCCAGACCCTTAATAGAAACATCACATAGATGCATGCACTACAATATTTATAAACAACCTTAATATGGAAGCAAGCTTAATTAATATCTTTTATTAGTACTTAGTACATTTGATATTGATGATTTCAAGTTTTTGGTATAACTATTCGTTAGAAAGAGAGAAAGGAAAATCAATATATAGTGCAACGGGTATGAAAACATAATCTAGTCAGTGGTCGGGTCTTCTAAACCACTGCATTCCACCGAGAGTCAAAATTAAGATAGTTTCTCGTCTTGTTGCCTCGAATTATGACCGTAATAAAACTGTCAGACTAAAATAAGACACACGACCTTCGTCATAGGCCCATGTAGTGTACGAACAGTCGAACATTACTCTTAAAATTATCTTCTGTAAAAAATGCCATAAGATAAGAATAAGTCAGTTTGTCCGCGACAAAATGTAGACTGTTTCAAGAAAATTTCGCTGGAATTGAAGACCTTGGCAAGATCATTTTAAGTCATTTTGGCCGGCCAGTTCATAGTGACAGCGGGTGATCCTTGCTACCAGTACAGTGTTACAATGTAAAACATGATTTATACACGCAGAGAAAAAGAGGTTTAAATTTACACCCTATATGGACTAAATGCTTGTCGCATGAGTGACACCCCTCAGGGAGTAAATTTAATTCCCAATGTAGGGAATAAATTTACACCCCCAAGAAGGTGTAAATTTGCACCACAAGGTTATGATTTTACCCCCTTTAAGGAGTGAAATTTGCACACAATGGTGCTTAATTAACACCTTTTGGTTCCATTCTCATGAAAAATGGGTTCAAATTTACAACCGTGGGGTTGAATTTTATACCATATATGATCGATGCCACACCCTGCGGGGAGTACGTCTAAACCCTTCTTATGCACAGCCTCGACCAATTGATCATCCCTCGAGCAATCAATCATCCATGCTTCGTAATCACCTAACAGTCACTGATTCTCACCCTTTTGTCTACGTTTCACTGCTCTAAAGAAATCAGACCAGAATCTCGAGTTATATGTCGAAAAGCTTTAATGCTTACCTGAACAACAGTTAGTGTGAACTCAACACAAGTGCAGACTGTAATAATCAACTAATTTAGCCTCGGTGAGGCTGGCATGATTGGACGTATCGGATCAACTGTAGTGGAATCCTGCCTTCCCGAATATCTTCCCTTTACTTACACGTAAAAAAAGGCAATGTACTAGTTAGTAAAACAACACTTCTGCTAATTTCATTGAATTATCAAATATAATTACCCTCGGTACAACCCCTTATTCTTGATCAGATAACTTTCACTCAAATAATATGCCCAAATGAAACATGATAATTCCCACAACATGACTAAAATATGTAAATTATGGTAATTTGCCTTCATTTGGCACAACCTATATGGACACGATGCGCCATTGCTGTAGCGTATGAGCATATGCACTCACAACAGAAAAATGCTTTGACTAATCAGAGCTCGTCTGACTAAAACAGGGTGTAAAATTACACCCCTCAAATGACTTTTCTGTACACCCTTGCGTATTTCTGTGTTTAACTCCCTAAAAGGTGTAATAGGGGGCGCCCTATTTTTCCAATTTCGTTTTACTCCCCAAGAACACCTTTTATTTTGCTGTGTGTAGTTTCAAACTAGATCATTGGTATATCCTTCACTGTGATGTTCGCTCTGTTTACCTTTCAACTGACATAATTCAGGTTTTTATATATGTTTTTTTTTATATAATTAAAAGCTAATCTTTTAGTCGCCTGCATTAGGGTTCAAATGTAAAATATGAATAAATGAAATGACTCTCTTAAATTTTTTTTCCTTTTCTCAACAGATCCCTCATCTGTCTTTCTCTCTCACTACTCTCGTTGTCGTCTTCCCCAGCTTGTCCCTTTACATTTCTCGTTTTTTCTCTTTATAAATGGAAATATTTGTTATGTTTATTAGTTCGTGGTGCAATATGTTAAACAATTCTTCTTCATTTCTAATCTCAATTTGTGTTTGATCCTTGTCAATTTCGGTGAATTTATATCTATATATATATATATATATATATATATTCTTTTATATAATTGTAAACAATGCAGTTGTGTACATTTTGAATGTATCAGTCTTTGGACTGATTTACAAGAAATTTTCTATCAAAAAAACTTAGCCTAATGAATGGGTGGTGATTTTTCAAGTTCCGACATTTAGTGAAGAATCATCTCATAATTATTAGAGCAAAGAGGTTATTAGGTGCCCCGAATATCCTAATCCTTGGGCAGCGAGGGACAAAAATATCCTCCTATTAAGACAACGAGATGCCTGTATATATATATATATATATATATATATATATAAATGTTTATCTGGTGTAAGTTGGTGACGATTATGAGCTTTGACAATGGAGACCATGACAGACAATAGTAGATAATATTTATATGGTGCACTTTATTTTCACTTGACCGAATAACAATGTGAATTCTTTTGGTTTTGTAAGTTTGTTAAACTCCACGTTTCATCAGCAAAACTGAAATTTACTCCATGTTTCACGGAAGATGTAAAACCTATCATAAGTGCAGAAAACAATCTCCCCCGTCTTGAATTCCTGCAAATAGTACCATGCTCGATTTGGTTTGATGATCTTAAAATCAGTGAGAATTTTTTTGATGTATTTGAGCTCCTTTGTGTACTGAACGATGTTCAGCAGACCCTGATAGTGCTTAACCCATGCAATGATAACAGAATCATCCTGACACACAGCAGGGTAAGCGTTTTCACCATCCTTGCTGATGCTGTGAAAGATAGCACCAGACACATCGTTGATCACTTGTACTGTATTCCAACTACTCTTAACGACAATCACTTGACTCGATGTCATCGCAAACATCTGCCACGGTTCAAATCTGTTACACATTATCTCTCTAATTGACTTCCCACCTTCTGGCTTAAATACCTGTATTTTCTTGCATTCCTCGTAACCTATGAAGATCAGCCCATCCTTGCCTACCGTGAGACCGCCAAATGTACCGTTCGCAACATCCATTGTGTTAAATGTTACGTCAAGCTTCTCACCGAGATCTGTGTACAAGGAAATTATATCATTAGTGTCGCGTATGACGTATCCACCATCGGGCATGAAGTCTAAGTCAAGAACTTTAACAGATTTCAGAACGGTATCTTCTATAATGCCCTCAGAAGAATATATGTATATTCCTCCGTAACAACAACCAACAGCCACCTTATTATTTGGAGACATTGCCATTCCGGTCACGAGAAAACCAACAGGCAGCGGATCTTCCGTGCGCAGAACCCATTTGGACTTATTTTGTCTAAGCTGGCCCAACTGGAGTCCGTCCAACCCTTGACTCCTGAAGTCAATTCGTTTACCTTCCTCAGCAATTCTTCTGGGCAGCTCCTCATCTGGCCCAATCCTGCTAAGAAGCGCTTCCAGCTGTTGACACATCGCTGTATGTGAGGCCAGAGCCTCTGTTTGGAGAGGAAAATTAAGACCATTCTTAACCAACTCCAGAACTTTCTTAATCTTGTCTACCTGCTTACGACTCGACTCTTCTATGTTTCCCAATGAAGTCTCAAAATTACCTAGCTTGTGCCCCACTTTATTTTTTAACACCGACTTTCTTTCCTTCAACTTCTGAACTGATTCCTCAAAAGTCTCATCTATTTCAGCATTGATTTGTTCGTATACGTTATGCACCACTTTACGCTGACCTGCAACAAATGTAACATACTTGTCAACCTCGCGTATCTTTGCATCTGCTTTAGATGTAAGTTTCTCGACATTATTCTTTTGCTCAGTTTCATGTGCGCCTGCTTCCAGGATAATGTGAGCATTTTTTACATGCTCTAATATTGCACACTTGCAGCATACATACTTGTTACAGTTGAGGCAAAAACATTCTTCATCGTAGTCTGGATGTTTTTCACATTTGTTCCCTTTTTTTTGCAACGATTTGTATTCTTGATTGCAGTTGGATCGGCCCTGAGTCTCCACATCTTCAACAAGTGATCTGACTGTTATATTTGATTGCAGTCTACCCACGTCTCCACCAGGAACCGAAGTCTCCCCTCTGCACGTAGGACACACCAGAACGTCTTTGTTCCCATGGGACTCCAGGAGAGACTCAAGACAACCCTTGCAGAATGTATGAGAGCAGATCAAGTTCTTTGGGTCCTTGAAGAAGCTCAGACAGACAGGACACTCGAGGTTCTTATTGACAGCCTGTTTGAAGGAAATAGCCATCGTTGACAACTCAAGCAGACGACCTGTAAAAAAAGACACATCAGTGAATCAAATCTTCAACTAAATAACAATTGTCTCATGTTTTGTAAACATGGCTAGTATTGCGATGAAAATGTCAAAAATATAATGCAATACATTATTAATAGGGCTTACCCGGTACAACATCATGAAATTACTTTACACTACTACTTTGGAACTTACGTTACGAATGATTTCGAACGGTGAATACGCTTTCAGTAAGAGGTATGTCTCATTTAGCAAAACAGTTGTATGAGTATGAATTCCCACTAACATTCATAGCAGGAAATAGTATGTTTAACCTTTACACTGTTTGATTACGGGCATATTTATTAGTATATTTCACTTATGCCATACTCGAGTTACGCGTACCTAATTATCTGTTATTCAATGTGCGATGTGTACTTTGAAACTCAACTTGGTGAAATATCTAAGCACATTGTTTGGAACATCATCATGTGTAGCCTGCATATGTTGCCACTCTCATCCCACTTCTCTTTTCATTTCCTCCATCTCGTTTTCTTCCATTCTGATCTCTTACATCCTAATCTCCCTCTTGTACACTAAGCTTGTTTCTCCTCTCTACCACCTCTTCCTCCATCTCGTTTCTTCCATTCTGATCTCTTACATCCTAATCTTCCTCTTGTACACTAAGCTTGTTTCTCCTCTCTACCACCTCTTCCTCCATCTCGTTTCTTCCATTCTGATCTCTTACATCCCAATATTTCTCTTGTACACTATGCTTGTTTCTCCTCTCTACCACCCCTCCCTCCATCTCTTTTTTCTTCCATTCTGATCTCTCACATCCTAATCTTTCTCTTGTACACTATGCTTGTTTCTCCTCATACCACCCCTCCTTCCATCTCTTTTTCTTCCATTCTGATCTCTCACATCCTAATCTTTCTCTTGTACACTATGCTTGTTTCTCCTCTCTACCACCTCTCCCTCCATCTCTTTTTCTTCCATTCTGATCTCTTACATCCTAATCTTCCTCTTGTACACTAAGCTTGTTTCTCCTCTCTACCACCTCTTCCTCCATCTCGTTTTCTTCCATTCTGATCTCTCACATCATAATCTTCTTCTTGTACACTAAGCTTGTTTCTCCTCTCTACCACCTCTCCCTCCATCTCTTTTTCTTCCATTCTGATCTCTCACATCATAATCTTCTTCTTGTACACTAAGCTTGTTTCTCCTCTCTACCACCTCTCCCTCCATCTCTTTTTCTTCCATTCTGATCTCTCACATCCTAATATTCCTCTTGTACACTAAGCTTGTTTCTCCTCTCTACCACCTCTCCCTCCATCTCTTTTTCTTCTATTCTGATCTCTCACATCCTAATATTCCTCTTGTACACTAAGCTTGTTTCTCCTCTCTACCACCTCTCCCTCCATCTCTTTTTCTTCCATTCTGATCTCTTACATCCTAATCTTCCTCTTGTACACTAAGCTTGTTTCTCCTCTCTACCACCTCTCCCTCCATCTCTTTTTCTTCTATTCTGATCTCTCACATCATAATCTTCTTCGTGTACACTAAGCTTGTTTCTCCTCTCTTTAACCTCTCACTCCCCCTTGTTTTCATCTTTACCTCATCTCTGCTCAATTCTTGCTCCCTTCGACTTTCTCTCATTCTCACTACAATTTCATTGTTCTGTTTTTGCTTATCTCCGCTCCTATTCCCTTTGTTTTCCTATTTTAAAATATCTGTTATGTTTTCTGGCTCCCCTGTCCATGAAATGTATTATACTGTTCTTCGTTGTCTTTAACCTAGGAGGATCCTCCTTGCTTTAACCATGTGTAGTAGGTCCATGTCTATCTGTGGTGTGTTTTCTATTTCCATTTTACTTTGACATGAACATGTATTGCTATATTAAATCAATCATATTCATGCATGTCTGTTTAGTAATTTGTTATTCTCTTTTGTGATTATATGTTAATACACCGTATGATGTTTGTTTGACACGTCTTATTTTTATGGAACAGCTACAGAATGCTTTTTTATAATTGTACTTTGTATTGTGCATGACCGATAAATCAAACTGATACTGAAACTGATGATCAAGGAATGTGTATACATTGTGTAAGCGTTTGTTCAGATAACTCCCTCTCTTTATCTGATTAGTGTGCCCCCAATAGTCTGGAGATTATCAGCGGGAGCCCCTCCCCACAAAAATATAAGACAATTTTAATAATGATAATAATAATATTCTGATACAACTAGACAGGGTGTGCTAGTCGTAATACAAACCTTATCATTGACATCTTGATTTTATAAATAATGGAGTAAAACGACCCAGAAACATATCCCAAAATGCATTCCCTATCCACACAAGTAGAAAGGAGTGGAGGGAGGGGGGTAAGTCCGAGAAGTTAGAGAATATTTAGTATGGTATAGTATAATAATATGTTGAAAAATATAAAACTCAAAATGTTCAACATTATTTTGATAAAAGCAATGCTTGTTCTAGTTTTGGGATGAAATAACTGTGTAGTGCGGTGATATTTTCCTATCATGTAATTTTTGTATATTTTGGTCAAATTCTCGTTTGAATTAATGAACAAAGGAGTATGTTTATTTATGTTAGTTTATCAAATGATAAAAAAGCTGTTTTATATTATGTTTCAGTTGGTATAAACTAGGACTATGGAAAAAGATTTGCTTCTATATGTTATGTAAGAACAAGAATTGCAGTTTTGAGAATTAAATTAAATGACTACAAAAAAAAGAAGAGAAAATCATAAACACTATCAGCCTGATCAGTAAATTAATACCGCCGTAAATTACGTAACCAAACTCTCTCACAATTGATTATCATTCTCTCTGTTTGCTTTGTGTGCTATATACATGATGCTTGGTGTGGAGGAATAACACATGCATTAATCAGAGAGGTCCATGTTATTGGCAGTTTCTCTTTTGTTGTTAATGTACATTTTCCCTTTGCATATAGAGCCCCTTTTAAAGTATCCCTGCAGAATGAATTGTTGGTGTGCCCCTCCCCCTCTCCTATAGGGATCAAGATACCATTGCTCCTGAAGAGAGTCCAAAGATCACTCCCTTTTGTATGGGGGGGGGGGCACGAATGACAAATAAATAAAAAAAATAAGTGAGACCAAGGGGAAAGATTATGGGCAAGGAAGATCAACATGAGATAACATCAGGAGATACTTTGATCGAGAATACTCTTCAAATATTAAAATTGTATGTTAAAATTGTATGCACCTCTAACAACAGATTATGATAAGGCAAAGTCACGATTTGATTTCATATTGAGTTTAAACCTGTAAACAGAAACTGACTCCTAGTGTTTATTGTCTGTAAACATCCCTTTTAAAGTGGCTATATATAATCTCGTTACCTTTAACACAAGACACTCGATATTCTTTTTCTTAATTATTTAATGTAAAATGGTATCAGTATAAGAAAACATAAAGGTGAAAAGAGCATCGACATCATATATGATACCTTGAAATTTAATTTTCCTAAATACCTGCAAAAAAAAAAATGCTCGCTAGCATATAGGTTACTTTGATCCTCTTTTCATAATCTTATTGAGTATTGAATAAAATAAATGATTATTCTCGCTTAAGTCGTTAAAAACCAAGCAGTGACAAGTTTGGGGTCATTTGTTTAGTGAATTTTAGTCTTTTTAACAAACAGAGTTGAGAAGTGATAACAGTTTCAAGCTCTTTTCTTATACGCTCTAAAAATTTATAGTTAAAGCAATAGTGATAGTAAATATGTTTAAAGGGACTTGGTAACATTGTTCAGATGAGAGATAGTGGTTCTAAGGTAGTGACTTCAATGCTAGATGTACAATTAAAGATAATCTGAAAATTTGAGTGAAAACGGACCATTATTCATGGTACAAATTGGGAAAAACTGATCTGATCGATTCCTTAATTCTCCCAACTAGGTCTAGATCTAGATCTATAGAACAATTTAGTTACACTTTAGGTGAATGGAAATCTCACAAGCAATAAAATGGCTCTACATTCCATTCCAGACATTTAAGTGTTGACAGATTTTTTTATAGCCTGTTTTATGTCTTTTTTTCATTGGAAAAACGGTTGGGAAAATTCAAAAATGGTTGGGAGAATTTACTGTTAACCACTGTTAGAGGGTGCCTCACATCGACGCCTTCAAAGAAAACCATAGATATCTTCGTGGTTTGAGATTTTTTTTTCAGGAATTTTTGCCTGTCAGAGGGTTAGTACAGTAGAAGGAATATAGTAAGTAACATTTTTTACAAAAATTAAGCAATTTTTTTCATCAACCTTCAACTTACCAAGTCACTTTAAAGTGATATCAATATCAATAGTAATAATAACTTCTGGATCGATGAAGTAACAGCCATGAAACAGTTTTACTTGCGATAGTATCAACAAAATTGTTATAAATGTCCAGGTTTAGGGCTTGCAAATACTAAAGGCTTGCTATTCTGCCTATATTTTGTTTTGTTTTGCCTGGGATAATAGCGTTGAGTATTGTGTTGATCGCAAATGTTTTAAGGTTGAAATCACAGATACTGAATATTAGCGATTATTTCAAAGCGTATGACATATTTCAAATTAATATGTAATGGAGCTCTATACATGCTCTAGTTCTGTTGGAGGGGTGTCATTAGATACATTGTATTCGAGTAATGCATATTATATTCAAATATGCTGCAAACCCATGGATAAGCGTTTCTATTAATAGTTTCAAACATCAGACTAAACATCAATGGTCTATATAAAGTTCAGTCAAGACACAATAGGGCCTATCCGATCACTACTAACATAAATAATTGACAAAGTATTCAACAGTTCAGGAATGAAAATTAGATATTAGCTGTAAAAACTCCCTGCTAATACCTAATTTTTGGTCGAGTTATCGACAAAATGCTTTTGGGTGATCAGATTTACGTCCTTGCAGAAAAGAAAAAGAAATTGAGATAGAGGTGAAAGATAGAAGTCGTATGGCAAATAAGACTCATAGAGACTATC